ATTTTCATATACCTGTTGGAAATGTCTAAGCAATGTTATTAAACATTTTAATATATGCTTATTGGCATTCTGGATGTTTCCCAAACAAAGTTTGTTTTCTATTTTTTCCGTATTTGGTTGTCTAACGTGTCTTATTGACTCGTGATTCCTTCTAATATATTCTGGATGAATCTTTTGTCAGTACACATTCTATGAACATCTTTCCATATTGTATGGCTTGCTTTTTCAGTCTCATAATGGTGTATTTCTAGAGACAAAAGTTCTCATTTAAAACAAAGGCTTTACTAAGTGTTGTATGTAAGTGATGAATCACTCAATTCTATACCCAGAACTAATATTACACTGTATGTTAAGTGTTGTATGTAAGTGATGAATCACTCAATTCTATACCCAGAACTAATATTACACTGTATGTTAACTAACTGGAGTTTAATTAAAATTTTGGAGAAGGAAAAAAAAAAAAAAAGACCTGTTCTTCCATTGTCCTTTTTGCTTTACTATTTCTTATTAAGAAATGTTTGCTCATCTTGATGCAATAAAGACACATACTTATGTTTATTTCTAGAGTCTCTAGTGTTTTATTTTTTTTTTCATCTCTCACACATTTACTTCAATGATCTATCTTAAATCAATCTTCATGTATGATGTGAGTTAAAGTTAAGGTTCATAGCTCTTTTGTGGCCCTGCTTATATTTTGTATTGTCCTGCTCTTTCTTGCTCTTTTTTAAAAACACTTTCAGGATTGGGGTTCCTGGGTGGCTCCTTTGGTTAAGGGTCTGACTTCGGCTCAGGTTATGATCTCATGGTTTGTGAGTTCAAGCCTCTGTGCTGACAGTTCAGAGCCTGGAACCTGCTTCAGATTCTGTGTCTCCCTCTCTCTCTGCCCCTCCCTTGCTCATTCTTGTTTCTCTGTTTCTCAAAAGTTAGTAAATTTAAAAAATTTTAATACTTTCAGACTCTTTGCATGTGAATGAAAGTTTCATAGAAAGGGAAGAAGGCATTACTTTCCACCAGGGAAGGTTTCACTCTTTCTAAAAAGGCAGAAAGAATGAGAGGCTGACTAAGTTAATTCAATTCTTATTTGTGCTGGTTCTGGACTGGATTGAAGTTAGACCTCATTTTTCTTCCTGTTTGTCCCTCTTGCAGGGAGAAGATCAATACTTTCTCAAAGTATTGATGAACATGTGAGCCTCTCTCTTTCTAGGCCTTAAATACTTCAGAAAATTCAGTTTTAACTCTTTGGTGGTGTAAACTTAGCCTCCTGGCCTATAGAAGCATACACTGGGGATATTGTGGAGTCAGTCCCAGAACACTGCAATAAAGTGAGTCAAATAATTTTTTTTTGTTTTTCCCTTGCTGGTGGGAGCCGCATTGGCCTTGCTGGATGACAGTCACAGTAAGGAAATGGCAGTGTTTGCACAGCTCCTGCCATGAGAAACCAAAACTGGTATCTCCTTCTGCTACTACTGGCTCATGTTAGAAATGAGCCTGCTGGTATTGACCAGGCCTCACAATATTCCAAATCAGACTGATATTCCCCACACAGATTCCTCATAAGGAAAAGCATATTCCTGCCTTTTCAAAAGAGATTTTAGATGAAAGCATTGTGGATGGTTGTCAAAAGGCTCTTCCTAGGGGCCTTGCAGATCCAAGACTTACATAATAAAGGGGGTTAAGAACACAAGAGTTATAATTGAGCCTGGTCCTGAGACAAAGAGCCTAATTTAGAGTTAAGGAACAGATATCCACCCCCACCCAATTGTTTCTGCTTGGAGCACTAGCCCCCCAAGGCATTTGTGATTAGTATTCAGAGTGACTTATTCTGGCCATGAATATGCTGAATGCACCCTGTGAAGGATCCTACTGTAGGAACCTCTTTTTTTGATTATGGGAGCAAATATTGTGTTTCCTGAAAGACCTGCTTTTCTTAATACTTCCCCTTAAACAAACAAGCTATTGACCCCTGCTCACAAAGAACTAACTTCACCCTTTTTATGCTAAAAATATTGTTTTGTGTGCTAAAGATACCTTCTTTCCCCATAGGATAAGCATCTAAATCACCTACCTCAATCACTACTGATAAAGGTTATGTAGGAGTTTTCTACAAATCTATGTTCTGGGAAATTCTTACATATCAGAGAAGTTTGTCATCAGAAATCATTGTCTAAGGCAAATGCCACTTCTGTGCCATCCCCCAAACACTTAATTATAAAATAAAGTTGAGCCCCAGTCAGAGCAGAGATGCCTGCCTGGGGACCAGAAAGATTCTCATGGTTCTCTCATCCCTCCCTCACCAACACCATCCATCCTTCAGGTCCTCTGGCACCTTGCATATAAAAGTTATGTTTACATTATGCTATAGTCTACTAAGTGTGCAAATGCATCATATAAAAAAAAACATTGTGCATATCTTAATTTAAAAACATTTTATTGCTACAAAATATTAACTAACATCTGAGCTTTCATTGAGCCATCATCATTGATCACAGATTGCTGTACAAATAAGTAATAAAAAATTTGAAGTGTTGCAAGAATTACCAAAATGTGACACAGAGATACACGGTGCACAAATGCTGGTGGAAAAGTGGACCAATAGTCTTGTTTGATGCAGGGTTGCCAAGAACCTTCAATTTGTTAAAAAAAAAAAAAAAACACAGTAGCTGTGAAATGAAAGGGAAACAATAAGGCAAGGTGGGCCTGCGCATCTTCAAATGGGAGCCAATATTGTGAGGAGGCTGCCAGTCTTGTGTTCGACGCAAGCCTCTACCTCTGGTGGGACCTTATCAAGCAAGCACCTAAACACTGAGAAACATGTCCCTGTCTTTCCAGCTCCATCTGAATCTTCAAAGTCTGAATCTTCTCGTGCTCCAAAAAGAAAACTCTAGCCCTTTGTGCCTGGCTGAAGCACATCCAAGGGCAGATCCAAATCTGGCAAATGTTTTGGGAAAGAAACTATTACATTTGTTTCTGGCTCCTCCCTCTAGCAGGATCTCATGTCTTCTACGCACAGCAGGAAAAGTGGGAGATTTTAATCTCCCCCTGTGGCCCAAAACCAATTTCTTATGTTCTCCACTCTCCACCCATCCTGTGGGGCAAAAATCAGCTGTGTGTTTAAGCTCTTATGGAATCCCGCCATCTCATTGGGCCACACACACTGCCTAATGGGCCACTCTTCTCTCTTCCCCAAAAGCAGTCACAGAGAACAGGAGCCCCTCCTTTCAGTAGATTGCAATTTTTAATATTTGCTTTGTTTGGGACAACACCAAATGTTCCTCTCTGTTTTCCATTCATTCTCCACTTAGACCTGTCTATCCATCTATTTATCTATCTAATCTATTATCTATCATCTGTCAATCATTTATCTATCACCTCTTATCCATCCATCTCTCTCTCTCTCTCTTTCATCTATCTACTTGATCTGCTGTATGTCCATCCTTTCATTTATTTGTTTACCTGGCCTTCAGACCTACTCAGACCAAGAACATGGTTAATGCCCTGAGACAAAATACTACTATGTGTGGTTAAACCTGTAAACATCTGCCCAAACCTCTCCTGAGTCCTCTGAGCCCTTTGTAGACCCTCTATGCAAGCCAAGCCTGCATTGTCAAGTGTGCCCTGAATCAGTGAAATGAAGTCAGCTCACATCTTCAAATCTACGTCTCTCTGAAATCAAAGCCATTCCCACTCTCTTTTCTTCAATAGAGACTCACTTTGTTTAAGAGATGATGTCTTATCTTGCTTTCCTTTTTATTTTTGCATAGATGCTGTTTTGATCACAAGCTACTCCATCCAGAAGTAAAACTTCTCCTGTCATATTATAAGCACTTTGCCCATAGTTTCCTAACTTAAAAAAATTTTGGAGGGGCACCTCCATGGCTCAAACAGTTAAGCATCTGACTTTGGCTCATATGATCTCATGGTTCATGAGTTCTAGCCCCACATCAAGCTCTGCCTTGGATTCTGTGTCTCCCTCTCTCTCTGCCCTTCCCCTGCTTGTGTGCTGTCTCTCTCTGTCTCTCCAAAATAAATAATCATTAATTTTTTAATTTATAAAATAAAATTTGAAACATTTCAAATTTTCAGAACAGATTCAAGTATAAGACAGATTTGCAAGAATATTTAAATGACCTCTCCTGTGTTCTTTACCTGTAGATCCTAACTGCAATTGCTACATTTGCTTTATTACTTTCTAGATTTCTACTTACTATATGTGTGTGTATATCCATTTATATATACATATATTTCTTTATAATAGTAATGATATAATATTATTTTATATTATCCAGTACACAGTCATGCTTTCCAAAAGTTTGAGATCTAACATTGGGTAATGCATTCATCTTCACAAAATACTTTGTAAATTTGTTTACTATATTTCTCGATTACCTATTCCTCTAACATCTTTTGCTCCATATCTTGAATCTATTTATGTTTGGATCTCACAGAGTACATAGTACAAATAAAAGGACTCAACAGAATTGTGTTGAATGAATAAACTGTAACTAGTGACCATTATTTCTTCTACAGCCACTTTTCTAAGATATCAGTAAAATACATAATTTAAATACAGAAATGGAGATATATGTGTTTACTTGAATAACAGCATTTTTAAAACAACAACAACAAAAAAGATCTGATCCAAGATAATCAAGCCAAAGGACTATTTTACTTTTTGTCTGAGATACAAATCCTTTGTTGGGGTGTTCGAATGCTCTTTTCATTTGAATAAATGTCAGATTCTTTTAAATCCATGTTGAGTTCTTTCACAGAATTTCTCAGGAAAAAATGTATTAGCTCTTGAGAGAATAGAACTATTAAGTCACGAAACATTGAATGGTAAAATAGAGTGATTTTCAGTCTTCATGTTAAACTCAACACTTCTGTCTTCAATTTCATGAGACTATCTTGGTTATTGTTGTTGGAATCTGTGTCTGTGATACAATTTTCAGGAAAGTCTATCAATTTAATGTTAGGTTAGCAGAGTCACCAACAAGATTGTGTCAGGTGGGGGTTCTCTTCCACCACATTGACTTTTTTGCTGCATCTTTTACATCTTTATTTCGTAGGCTATAAATCAATGGGTTTAGCATGGGGATCACCAATGTATAAAACACAGCAGAGACTTTCTCCTGTTCCAGGGAATACTGGGAACTTGGCTGGATGTAACTAAAGGTTACAGACCCATAGAATAAGGTCACAGCAGTGAGATGAGAGGCACAAGTGGAGAAGGCCTTGTGCCTCCCCTCAGTTGAACGGATTCTCTGGATGGCAAAGATGATGCATGTATAAGAGACCATGATGATAGTGAACGTGAACATGGCAATGACCCCAGAGAAAATTAAAAGTAACATTTCATTGTTATGGGCATCAGAGCAAGAAAGTCTCAGAAGTGGGGGAATGTCACAGAAATAATGATTCACGATGTTAGGACCACAGAAATCTAGCTTGAGCAAACCTATAGTGTGTGTCAGCGAGTTAATGAGCCCACCCAAGTATGATGCAAGGACCATCTGAATACAAACCTTTTGGGTCATTATGAGTGTATATGACAAGGGATTAGATATTGCCACATAGCGGTCATAAGCCATCATAGATAGAAGGATACCTTCTGTGGTTACATAAACTGCAAAAAAGAAATACTGTAGAACACAACCAGAAAATGTGCTAGCTTTGTGTTTCGATAGGAAATTGACCAACATCTTTGGAGCAAAGACAGTAGAATAGCAGATGTCACAAAAAGAGAGGTTGCTAAGGAAAAAGTACATTGGAGTATGAAGTTGGGCATTTAACCGGATCAGGATAATCATTCCCCAATTCCCTGCGAGAGTGATGGAATAAATAAGGGTGAAAAGCAAAAAGAGAGGGATCTGCAAATTAGGGTTTTCAGTTAAACCTACCAGAAGGAATTCCTTCACCCTTGTATGGTTGCAACTTGCCATACATTCAGGTTAATATAGCTTTTCCATTGCAGAAGAAGATGATATCACTCAGATGAAATATATATATGTAGTTTCCTCTATCATCCGGGATCCATAATAGCATTGGAGTATTTGTGTTTACCCTATAGTTGGTTGAAGGAAAGAAATTAACTTCAGCAGTGGACTATATAAGTACTAGACAATTCATCTACAGTGACTCAGATTTTTGAAACTAGAATTATTTTATTCCTTGTTTCTCAGTTTCCACATCATAAATATTGCAAAAAGGAAACTTTCTTACAACAAGAAATTATTACTTGGTAGAACCCGTAGCCGAACCCAAGTATGCCTCATATCAAACCTCTGACTCACTTTAGGACATATACAAGTCCTTTGCTTACATGGGCTACACACTGTGGCACCTTATTATAGAAACTGTATCTTGGGACACATAGGTGGTTCAGCTGGTGGGTGGTTCAGTTGGTTAAGCATCTGGCTTTGGCTCCGGTCATGATCTCACAGTTCTTGGGTTCGAACCCTACATCAGTCTCTGCTGACAGCTCAGAGCCTGGAGCCTGCTTTGGATTTTTGTTTCCCTCTCTCTCTTGTGTGGTCTCTCTCTGTCTCTCTCTGTCTCTGTCTCTGTCTCTCTCTCTCTCAAATAAATAAAACTTAAAAAATGATTTCCTTATCTTTTGGCCAAACTGTTCCTACTTTGTTTTCAGTTTATTTACTTATTTTGAGAGGTGGGGGAAAGGGGCTGAAAGAAAGGGAGAGAGAGAGAGAGAGAGAGAGAGAGAGAGAGAGAGAATACGAAGCAGGCTCTGCACCATCAGCACAGAGACCGATGTAAGGCTTGAACTCAGAACCACGAGATCATGACCTGAGCTGAGGTTGATGCTTAACTGACTGAGCCAATTCCTACTTTTTAATATTCAGTTAACTCATGATCCTGACTTTCATAATATACAACCTCTTTCCTTTCTAAATCTCAAGCATCAGAACTTTTTTGGCCTCACCTTTTGCTCAGAATCCACACTTGAAAGATCAATGACTGTGTCCTCCGAAAGAGCTGAATTGAGAGAAAGAGGTAGAAGAATCTTTTCTTCATTTGATATTGTTAAGGCCAATCAAAAATAGCAGTGCAATTTAACTTGAAAAACTTTCCCTTTTGCGTCTTTGTATAATGTTACCTTTGCATCTTTGTTTTTTTATCAGCATTAAAACAAAACCTCCAAAAACACGATGTAGAGACAAGGTGTGAGTGTGAGATACCAAAATTATACCTATCAGTTATATCTGCTTTTAAAAATGTAGACTGCCACATAGTTTCACTTGCTTTTTGACATGAGAGAATACTTATTCAGTAATATTTATGGTTAAATATTAATAAACAAATTATTCATTTACACTTTCATACGATCAATAGGTATTCTTACTACATTATGCCAAGAACCCTTAAATTTGCTAGAAATGAAGCATTGAGCAAGAAACATGGCATGCTTTCAAGGAGCTCACATTTTATTAGGGAAATAAATAAACAAGTATTGATATACTATATACAGTATATACAGTAATGATAGTGCTATGAAGAAAAGTAAAGAAGAGGGGTAAATAGAGATAATAGGTACTCTATTTTGCAGTATATTAGTTCTGTTATTGCTACTCTAACAAATTACCAAAAATCGATGTCTTAGAATAGCAAACATGCATTTTAAGAAAAGCAATGTGTGAGCATTAGAGATCTCAAGAAAGATTGTGCTCTTATGGAATGTGCTGTCTGCTAAAGTCAAGATAAGGGGAAGCTTGGAAAATGATCTGTATGGTATCGCTAAATCAAATGCAAAATCTTCATTCTGTGAGTAGTCTCCTCTCTTATCAACTGAGGTTATAAATTAGATCCCATCTATATTTTAGATCAGTGGCCCTGAGAAACACAGCGAATCCAGGTCTGACTGTGTTCAAGGCAAAGAAGGAATGATCTGTGGAAAGTACCAGTACTTTTTTTTTTCTTGTTAATAAAACCAGATCATAAATCCAGGGCGCCTGGGTGGCTCAGTCGGTTAAGCCTATGACTCTGGCTCAGGTCACGGATCTCAGAGTTCCTGAGTTTGAGCCCTGCATCAGGCTCTGCACTGACAAGATACTGTTTCCGATACTGTGCTGTTTTGGATACTGTGTCTCCCTCTCTCTCTCTGCCCTCCTTCCCTTGCTCGTGCTTTGTCTCTCTCTCTCTCTCTCTTTCAAAAATAAATGAACATTAAAAACTGTTTTTAAGTATAAAAGCAAATTTTAAACTGGAAAAAAACTCAACCTAAAACAAAAACAAGAACAAAAACAAACAAACAAATAAACAAAAACATTAGAGGTAATAAGTTATTTATGTATGTTTCTTAGTGGTAATATTTTCTCCTGCAAAGCTGTTTAGCATAATGGGAACATTGCATTCCTGGAGTATAGCAGAATCAGGAAGGCTTTGTTCCACTATAGCTCAGCCCTTAATTTGCTGTATATTTTGACTGTTTACAAGAAAATGTAAAAAGGAACCAACACAGCAGAGTTTGTATGATTTCCCCATTTATCATTTAGGGAAAGAGGAAAAAAATGGATTTCCTGCCAGTTTGACTAGCATAAATTTTCACATGAAGGAAGCTACAATGAACTGATGTGTGATACTGATGGCCATGTGTCAACACCGAGGCACAGAAAAACAGAAATCATGTGGGAGAAGAGAAAGGGAAAGAAGAAAACCAAGTGTGACTCCAATAAGTTTGCATTAAGATTTCTAACAACAGCTTTATCAATCAAACTCTTAATGGAAAACTATAAATAGAGAAAAGTGCTACCAAGGGTGAAGGTATGATTTGCTTTCATGCCGCTAGAATTAGAACTAGACACAGATTCATTCTTTCTCTAAATATAAGGCTTGTGCTGCTGCTCAGTGCTTCTTCCTGATGATGGTTTGGAGGCTCCTTTAAAATACTAACAGTGAGGGGCGCCTGGGTGGCTTAGTCAGTTAAGCGTCCGACTTTCGCTTAGGTCATGATCTGGTGGTTCGTGGCTTCGAGCCCTGCGTCGGGCTCTGTGCTGACTGCCAGCTCAGAGCCTGGAGCCTGTTCAGAGTCTGTGACTCCCTCTCTCTCTGACCATCCCCTGCTCACGCTGTCTCTCTCTCTCTCCTAGAAATAAATTTTAAAAAACGTTAAAAAAATTTTTTAAATACTAACAGTGAGAGCGTTGTCTTAGTAAAATAAATGCTGAAAATAACATTTTATAACCAATGTCATGATCAAATTTCTCCAACTTTTCAGAACAATATCTTGAAATATTAGGGCAAAATAAGGGCATGTTTGTTTAAAATTGTATGAAATTCCTTTGTAGGAATTCTTCATTTATGACTCCAAAAGGACATTAGAGAATATATAGTCATTAATGGTCAAGAGCACAGTTGGTGATAAGGAAATTGATGAGAAAAATAACAAAGCTAAAAGCATAATGCCTATCAAATGAGTTAGTGATTTTTAAAATAATAGACTTTCCTTACTATGGGTACATTGTTGTTAATCTAAACTGAAATATCTTACCCTATGCTTTCATGGAACTTTACCAACAAAACATGATTATTTTGACATATTTATAAACAAATTTATTATAAAATATTGTACATAAATATTATATTTATTTTATTGTATTATAAAATATCATATACAAGTAAATATATAACTGATTAGGTATTATATGATGTATCATGTTATATATTTAAATTCACAATTCTCTAACTTCATAAGTGTATAAATGTACTTATAAAATGACATTTACTGAATGGTTTATGATGAAAACTTGCTTATAAGACAGAAGAGGTGAAAATCCACCTAGCACAGAAAAATAAAACAGATAATAATCACAAATAAAAATGTAAAAAACCCCCACTATCAACAACAATTTTGACATATTGAAAGACCTGAAACTATAGCTTATCTAGTCTAATTTAAAAACAATACACCCTGATTTGAAGACCATTTTATCCAGACACACTAGATTTCTAGTGGGAAGAAGTATCAGCTTGTTGCAGCCAAAATTCTCGGAAAATCAAGGGACTGTGTGCATGCATAAAACCAAGGTTTTATCACAGACAGGATGCAGTGACAAACTCAAGGAAAATAGAAAACAATTCTTTAAAAAATTATTATTGGAGCCTTAAAATAAAATTATATCTAAAATATTTATAAATGTTATTATATAGATATGAAAGAAATTTTTTCCTTGTGATAAAAATACATTATAATTCTCAGATATTTGAAGAAATCTTCAATACATGTGTAAATAGCTTTAAATTACTGTATAAACTAAATAGTAAATATTGTAAACACACATGCATACATGAAAATATTAAATGCAGGCATTATGAAAATATTGCCCTTTTTTCATAACATGAGAAGAAAATCTTTGAAATATAAATAAACCACAAGTTAGCACATTGTTTTCTGTCTATTTGGGAACGATACTGAAATCATACAGCTGGTAACAGATTGTTTTAGTGTGAGGAGATAGGAAATATTAAAAGTTTAAATAAACCTACATTACCACTTCTTAAACACATTCACAATGAACCAAAGTCCAGAGTAAACAGAATATCTAGTAAAGAACACCAGCTTTTCACGATTCTTCAAAGACTGTTGAGAATAGAGATTTTGTAATGTTTGGTTGCTTTTCTTTTGGGGACATGAGCTGTAGCTCACGTGTAGATGTGAATCTCAGGTGTCCACAGGTTGGATCATTAGCAGCCTCCCCCATCTCTTAAGACTAGAGCTAATCATGCCATGTGACTGAAGTCTCCTCAGTCACTACTCACTAAATGCCTCTGCTTTCAGTTTGACAAAATATACATCCTTCATAAATAAAACCCTCAAACATCTTGTGGTAAAGGCACAATATAGAGAATAAATGCAGTACAGGCACTAAAGGAAAGTGTTCCAATCACATGCACGCTACTCAGACAAATGTTCAAGTATTCTAATGGT